AGTTTGTCAAAAGTCATCTTTGTGGTGCTGCGTATGATGGCCAGGTTACTTCTCTGCATTTGGGCACTGAAGGTGTTTCTTGTTTTTTGTTTGTTTTCTTTTGTTTTTTTGGAGACAGGATTTCACTGTTGCCCAGGTTGGAGTGCAGTGGCGCGATCTCGGCTCACTACAACCTCCGCCTCAGGTTCAAGTGATCCTCCTGCCTCAATCTCCCGAGTAACTGGGACTACAGGTGTGCACTACCACGCCCAGCTAGTTTTGTATTTTCAGTAGAGATGGGGTTTCACCATGTTGGCCAGGCTGGTCTCGAACTCCTGACCTCAAATGATCCACCCACCTCTGCCTCCCAAATTGCTGGGACTACAAGCATGAGCCACTGTACCTGGCCATTGTTCTTGGTTTTCCAACATGGAATCACACTAGAACATCTTCCATAGCTTGAATTGTTTCCCCAGGAGGATGGCGTTCCAGCGATGAAGCTGAGAGAAGCTAAGAGGTGGGGGCTGAATGTCTTCTCCTGGACAGAGCCAAGGGGCTGGATGGAAAGCAGCAGGGTCTTAAAACAACTATTTGTTTTAAAATACACACCGAATGGATGTCTTTTTATCATAAAAGATTCATGCAAAACAGAAATATGGAATAAGAAGCAAATGGCCCCTTCATATGCCTCTCAGACTCCTTTCCTTCCTTCCAGACTGTGATTTCCTTCCTGTGAATCATGCGGCATTGCCAATATTGAAGAAGTTTTGATTTACAAAAATGGCAATTTCATATGGTTCAACCTGATACATGTGTGTATGTGTATATATATATTTAACAGAAATGCTATTATATTCTATGTGTTATTCTGAGACTTGCTTTCCATAACAGTATGTACAGGTCTACCTTTATGTTTTCTAATGACTGGCATGAGGTTTGCTAAATTATTTTACAGCCCTAGTTGAAGGACATTAAGATTATTTCTTGTGTTGTTTTGTTTTTGTTTTTGTTCTTGTTTTGAGACAGAGTCTCACTCTGTTGCCCAGACTGGAGTGCAGTGGCACAATCTCAGC